TCAACTCCGAAAACTTCCCGAATACAGGTTTTATGGCAATAATTCTCAGGACTACTCCTATGGTGGGGTACATTTGGCGATTAAACTTTTTTTATTATGTATTTCAGCACTGAGATAATATCGTCGATTTATTCATATAATTGGCAAGTAGAATAAATGATAAGAGTTGACACACATTAAGAAGATTCCCCTAATGAAAATATGAAATATAATGATTAAAATAAAATCACAAAAATATATTACATTTTGTTCATGCAGTTAGGAAGAGATTCAGTTTGTATGTAATGATGGTATTGTACAATATGAAATATAATTCAACAGTTAACATGCATCTGCTCTTCCATGTAATTCATCACGAACGAGATTATTGGTATGGTTACATATATTACTTTTCGAAACATACTTATTTTATTATTGTTTCAATTAATATCTTAAGAAGTTTTAGACACCAATTTTTTTCTACTCAGGTTTTTGCGCGGGGCCCCTGTAAGGGGCCGCACTGAAGGATGCTAGATGGTCGCTTGGAGAGTGAATGGTAAAGGTGGATGGGCAATGCATCCTGGACGCAGTGAAATGAAGCCAGTATCTAACTGACAGCGGAAAAGTAACAATCATGCCTCTCTAATAAATAAACAAAATCATTGAAACTAAACATTAGAACATAAACGTTAAAGAAAATTATGAAAAAAAAAGGATCTTGCTATTGAGATGTAGATGTTCCACCATACGAATTTAATGATTGTTGTTCCATCGAAAAGCATAAAACATCAGTTGAATTTGACAATGATGAGTACTGGGTACGACTATCATACTCGTGGCCAAATTGAGGGGCTTCCACAGACAAATTTCTATTTTCATAAGGTCTTGAATTTTCCCACGGACTCAGACTATGGCCCGGGCTTAATTCCCGCATATATGGAAGTAAACTCTTGAAGAAACACAAATCCGGATATTCATCGGAGCCGATTTCTTTTTCCAGAAGTGCAAATTTTTCCTTAATGGGTCTGCTGGGTCCCAAAATGCCCTTCTTTTGTACACAGAATTTATCACGCTTTCCTCCATAGCTAGGCTACCCGGCTGGAATATCAAACACGACTGATTAGGTTGGATAGACGCCTGGCGTACCTTCGGATGGTTTCTGGAGGTTAGATGGTAGTGGGGGGCCACTGCGGCTACCGTCGTTCTGTTACTCACATTTATAAATAGCAGGATGTTCGCCAGGCAGCTGTCTACCATCGACCATACTACCAACCTTCCTGCAGTGCGGCCCCAGCTTAAGAGCGTGGCCCTGGGCGGTTACCCTGCTCGCCACCTCCGATACGACGTCTACCGGTCATGTTAACTGATGGTGAAAAACAAAAAAAAACTCCTGCCAGCTGTTTTCATATACTGCTGTGGTTTGTTGTGATTCCAATGAGCAACAGTAATTTATTTAACTTATCAATTAGTTTCTGGTGTCTCCAATAATTGCACCAGAAACATAACTTTCACAAATTCACAATTCAACAACTCAATATATAAAAAACAGCGAAACAATAAACTTATTCTATGTTTCATATTCAGTTATTCCGATCAGCCGTTTAGCGTCACCATCGATAGAAATCCTTCCCGGCTCTGGCCGCTTATGTTCTTGCTAATCATATAAACACAGCACCGATTAAAATTTTCCTTACGTACCTATGTGAAAAATGTTCAATTTTTAACTTTAGTGAATATTTTATCACCATTTTCGTTCCAGGCCCTCAGTTCCGTCACCATCTCCCTGTATATTGTGTTTATCTGATCAATTAGAGTTTTTGTTTTATTTTCACTTTTTTTTGTCTCATCTTTAGCGAAATACTGTGGTTTTCTGTGGCATTCGCAAGAAAAATTGAGAAAGCTTCGAACATTTTGATGAGACGGATTATGTTAACATACGCATCCGTAGGTGACAGTTTGACCGCTAGCGACATCTGCATTAGTAACAAAAAACAAAGACGAAACAATAAAAAATATTATGTGAAGGTGCCTTTTACTCATTACTGGTCGGTTGAGGTATCCTTTCATGAGTAATTCAGTGTTAATTGATTACCAAAAAGCAGAAATGATTATAATAATTGTTATACCTACATCTTTTAAAATGTTAATTCTGCTTTAATGAAATGACATTTCCAATTTGGAACACCCGGTAACTGAATCAAACTAATGGTTACTATGTCCTCAATATTGCTTCTTGCACATAGTCATACACTCAAATGTTATTCAATTTGGAAGCCGTACCGCTTCGTCACGACACATCGCATGTTCACAGATCGCGAGTAATTCTAAACCGACACCGTGTTCATCAAAAACTTTTCGCTCTTTGCTCGAATGTCAAGGCAATTCGAGTTCAATTTGTACAACCGGAGAAGAATACGTCATGACTATAACTGAATGCATTTTTAAAATTAGTCATTTTCGCAGGCATAACGTGGTTGGGACAAGATGCAAGGAAACCAGTTTCAAAACCACACTACAAATTAGCCGATATCTACAGGGTGCTCAGGTTTTGATTGGATGATATTCGTTAGGATATAAAATTCTTGAAAATGTTGAATGTCGAAAAGATTTTTACAAATTCACACAAGAACTACAGCAAACCTCGTGAGCCCTCTACATGTTGGTTTCTAGCTCTAAATATTAACATTGTATTTGAATAATTGATCTTAAGATAATTTCGAGATATCCATTCCATACTGAAGCAATTCTTTGAAAAATAGTTCTCAAAATAAATATGAAGAATGGAATACCTATATTGTTGAACTTTCAAACAATGAATTAATGAATTACGTTCTTCAAATGGAACTGCCTGAGAATGAAAATTGAAAGTGATTCAAATTGTTAAACGAAATCGTTCGACTTGAATATTTCACCCACATATTTTGATAAAAGTGAGAACGATACATTCATAGCCAACATATTATATTGGCCCTTTACACCATACAACTCTAAATAATATCTCACGAGTTACCGTAAAATTATAATCATCGCGCGAGAAAATAAATTTAAGCGGGCTGACAAACCGATGCGAGAGGCGTAATGAAGAAAGGTTGCAACATCGTTGGTTTTGTTTGAAAGTTAAGGTAGCATTTTTTTCTGAAATTGATAGTTGTGAACATACTCTCATATGAGTAAATTTTATCAAAGGTCATTTTGTTATTAGTTACCTACTAGTTGGAGTATCCCGTTTCTCATAGGGAGTTGATAAGAGATTGTTCAGAAGTTGGAATAAAAGGATAAACTTGAAATGTCGATGGATCTGGTTTTATATACCTCTGCCAATGGGTAGAGGTATATAAAAAGCTTCAAATGGTTCAGAATGTTCCAGAACATTCCACAGCATTCGAAACTTCTAGAATGCTCCGGAACGTTCCAGAATATTTCCGAATATTCCACAACACTCCAGAATGTTTCTGTATTTTCTGATCATCCCACAGTGATCTGGCATATTTCAGGATGATGCCGAATGTTCCAGATAATTATCAAACGTTCTAGAATCTTCTGAAATGTTGAGGAATGTTTTCCGAAATCCTTGAACATTTCCATAGATGGGGAATAGAGGGCTACAACAACTTATTATTCCCTTGATCATTCCACCATGATCTGGGATGTTACAGAATGTTCCCGAAGGTTCAAGACTATTCTGGAATCGTATGGAATGTTCTCGAACACTTTCAAGTGATCTAGAAATTTCGCTGCCAGGTGTACGTCCACTGGGAGCCACTGGCACAATGTCTCGTGTTAGGAATCACACGTTAAAAGGTAAGACCTCGTTAGCCCCTAGCTGGCACACCTTTCGACTTTTGGGAGTTTTCGTTCGTAGGGGAGCGATAGCTAGTTAACGGAAAAACATATTTTAAACAGATATCAAAAGTAAGCGAATATCCAGACTAGGCTAGCGAAAATCGCGAAAGACACTGACGAATGCATTGGAATGTTTATCTTGACCATTATCAGATCCAGTTAAAAATTAGTTCGATGAAGAGTATCGAATATAAGATAGTTGAATAATTTTAAAGTGTGAATGAAATAGGAATCCTTAAGTTGCATTTTGAGTTATTGAAGGAAGCACAAAGATACAATAATATTTACGAAGAAGAGCAAACATAAATGGCAAGGAATAATTATATGTACTTCATTAGTTAGGAACAAGTTGAGAAAAAAAAAAGAATTTAAATTATTTAACACTATAAATATAATAATAATAATAATAACTTTATTCACGTTTGGCGATAAGAGCAGAGCTCTTGTTTCGCAAATCATCATAATAGTTCATATATTGACAAAAAAAAACAAATATATCCGATAAAATTGTTATGAATAAGTCAGTGTGCAGGTGTGGCTCTTGCAGTGGAAAGAATGTATAACTTTTCAATGTTCTTCGAGGTGTTTCTGAGGAAATGGTAAACGGCGAATACATTATTCAAGAAATGCTGGATTGGACTGAGAATAGATGATGATCTAGATTTTTCCATTACCTTATAAATTACGACAGAGTTTTCGAAAGCAATCAGTTTAGGGTAGACATTTGTGAGTGGAACGGACAAAAGAGAGTGGAGTAGTCGAGAACAGTTATAGTTTTTTTTTAAATTGCAATTTTGCCACTCGTCAGTGAATAATGTCGTTATTTAATAAATGTACCACTTATTCAAATTACTAATAAGCTTGTCAACAAGTTTGAGGAGAGAAAATATGCCAATGTCACAGGTATTTTTTTCGGGTTATTCCTTAATTTGTGTGTTATACTAAGTTTGATGATTCTGGAATTAAATGTATATTCATATCGAATACTTCAAAACTTAACTATTATTTTAGAATCGAACACAAATATTTGATTCTAATGGTTCTAAATCAAATTTCAATACAGTCGAAGAATAAAAAGACAAAGACAGAATGGAAATAGCGCTCTCAAAATACTAAATTTGGAAATCAAGAGTTCAAATAAAAAATAAAATACAAAATAAAACAAAATAAAAACATACCCATGCTTATAATTCGGCTGGGAGGTGTTATTCAACTTCGTGTATAAATTAAGGAATGATTTCGCTGTGAACCTATAAGAAAAAAAAAATAAATGAAAAATAATAAGACAAATGATAATATAGATTCCTGGGTGAGTTTTATCATGAGTTCGTCACAAGACTATGAAATATTCAACAGCCACTCAATCAAATAAAAATAATTTTTTGTCTTGTCATTTATTAATTCGAAGTATTCATGATTAAGTTTACAAATTTTCACATTACAGACTTTTATTCCAATACGTGTTTCACTACAAAGAAGTTTCCTCAGTTGGATTACTATGTACAGTTCGGCTGAAAAGTTCGTAGGCTAACATAGAAAAACATTTTTTTGGTGAAATTTGATTTTTTGTATTCAATATAGTTGCCTTAGAGGGTGATACAAGGATTACAGCGGTCAAACAATTTTTCGATACGATTTTTGTACTACGATTTGTCTTTAGCTTCAAAATAAGTATCAGTTTCAACGATAACCTCTTAATCAGTGCTGAATTTCTTTCCAGCGAGCTTTCTCTTGAGGTCTGAGAATAGAAAAAAGTCGCTGGGCCAGATCTGGAAAATACGGTGGATGCGAAAGCAATTTGAAGCCCAGTTCAAGCAATTTTGCCATCGTTTTCATATTTGTGACACGGTACATTGTCTTGATGAAACAGCACTTTATTTTTCTTCAAATGGGGGCCTCCTTTCAAAAGCTCCAATAACGCTGTGTAAAATTTTGTTGACTTTTTTTATGTTTTCGTCTGTAATAGTCTCTTTGGGGAATCCACTGTGTGCATCTTCCTCAATGCTCATTTCTTCTCGTTTAAACTTAGCAATCCACTTCTCAACGGTTGATTTTCCTGGTGCAAAGTCCAAGAGCATTTTTATCGCCAAAAAGCAATGTTATATTAACACAAGAAATTAATTTTAATCCATTTTCTTTAAACTTACAAAAGTGCTTCACTCAAAATGTTCTATCCCACAAACTGATAGTCCGACAGCTGTGAAAATTGTACACGTGTCTTTTGAAGGTTAGGATTTACTAAAAATCATATGGATTTGATACTAGTAGCGCCATCTTTATGTTAGTCTACGAAATTTTCAGCCCACCTAATAGTAAAACGCGTATTGGAAATAAAGTCTATATTGTGAAGACTTGTAATCATTATTATGATTAGTGTTATTGATTTTCACAAAGTACCGGGTTGGTGTATTCAAAATAACAATAATTACTCAATTTTATCGTACACTGTTAATTTTTTGCACTGATCGTCACTATCATAGAAATGTTGTAAATGAATAAACCCATATTTCACCTTCTTTACATGTTTTTGGTCACCAAGGGCTGCTATAAGAAAAACTTTAAATATAACGACTTTCTAGTATCATATCTGTTTATATTGAAGCACGAAAGAATTCATATTAATTTCCGTTGTTCCTGAGAACCTTAAAGGACTATTTGTGATTTCAGGGTGGCACTATCATTTGACCCGGTATGAAATTATTTTTCCTTATGTATATTGTCTGGTTTGAAATTTGTTTACTTACTTCGACTGCATTCCATTTTGGCCCACTTGATTGAAATCCCCTGTAGAGCTCCACCTTTTATGTAGAGCCGATCCGTTAGGTATCGTGGGGCTGGAGGCGTTACTATTTACAGTCCTTCTACCGTTCAATGGCAGTGGCGTAGCTCTCGGAGAAGGAGAAGGGATTGGACTTACACTACTTGAACTTTGACTGTCGCTGTGGAGGCTTCCTGAAATGAAAAACAGATAAAATTAATATGATTTTCTAAATATATATTCAAACTGAACATTTGAGTTATTAACGATCTAAGACTGAGGAGTATGAAACCCTTCACAATTCACTTTTGTTATTTGTCTGGTTACAATTAAAACTGATTCGAATGACTATTATCTGGGACGACACCACTGAACTGTAGGCATGCATAACGGGAGAGATTATTAGCAGGAAAAAGCATATAATATACAAATCCCGGGATTGAAAAAAAAAATCAACCAGACAAAGTATAATGAACCAGATATAGACTACGATGGATCTTTCAACCCCTCCTTTTGATAACGACATGCAAAGGATGGATCTATTAGTAAAATATTTTATACATTGGACAATTCTTTTTTTAACAACTTGGGAGCTGTCTGACTCGCTCATTTCCCTCAAAGATCCGTAAAAACCCATCCCCATCCAACAATCTTCTGCTCTTTACTAGTTTGTAAAGGTCCTTGGTAGATATATGTCATATTCTTCTAGACATAATTTGGGTTTTTCATAAATTGTTTGCCTCATGTGATTCAATGCGTCACATATCCGTTGTACAGCCTTATTTTGTTCAGGTGTTTTCTCAATGGACAGTATCCAGTAAGTAGCCCTGTAATTGTTCTGAGCCGATCCCTGTTTTTATGGCAGTTCTTCAGTTCTCTTCTCTTTCCTTCATAAAGGTTTTCCCGTGTCTGTTCTCGGTTCAGTTTTTCCAGTTCTGATCCGGTTCCGTACCAAAGACTTTGGTACCTCCAAGCTGGTTCATGACTTACGAAGGTTGTCCCAGAACTACCCGGCCTGACTTAGAGATGGCGGTAGCTGTTTGAAGAAAATCACTGTATTAGAAAGTACACAATCTATAAAGCATGTTTCAAGTTTGAAGACGATGCGCTGTTTAATATTTGTTTGGCAACCATAAATAGCCAAAGTTTTCGGTGAATTTGTGAAAATGGAGAAAATTGGTCATAGTTATAAGGTACAAAATTTTTATTTGAAAGGATTCAACCAAGCTGAATGGAATTAAAGTTTGAATTACTACCTCATGCACCCTATTCGCCAGATTTAGCCCCCTCGGATTATTCTCTGTTCCCAAACTTGCAAAATTGCTCAGTGGTCAAAGAAGAAGTGATGTCAGCAATAAACAGCTATTTTTAGGAGCAAGACAGTTCTTATTATGAAAAAACGGTATCGAACTAATTGAACGTCGCCGAAAAAAAGTGTATGTAAGGAGATTATGTTAAGAAATGAATACTGTTGTAAATCATGCCCGAAAGAAAATAACGCCGGCCGCCACTGGTAACCATAAACCAAACGTGACGTAGCGAAGAGCGCGCCAAAGTACGATGATTCCCCGCCACTATAGAAGCAGCGAGAATAATGCTACCGATTTCGACGGAACTTCGGTGAAATTTCTACGGCATACGATTACGATATTCAAAGGCTAGCCACGAGGTATCGACACAGTCAAGTGGACGTTACAGTGCGGTACACAAGGGTTTAGTTGAAGTGTTTGTTGTATTTAAACTACAATAAAGTTAAATTTGATTATTCAGTGTAGTCAATTATTGGTCAAGCCACGGGGAAAACCTAAAATACATTTTTTTTTATTTTGTGTTTTCTTTGTTCGGCCGCGTACTTCTGGACCACCATACGGAGTTGAATATGCATGACAGGCACATTCATCAGCTTGATAATTGCCTACGATTCCTAAGTGTTCTGGCACCCAGTATTGTATAGTCAATTTATTCCTGTCCGCCAGTTTCACGGTATTCCAAGACCAGTCTAAATGTGTCTTCTGGGTTCGTCAGTGCTCCGCACATTTCGTGGATGCCTCAAATTGATGTTTCTTGCGCATTCAGTCTGGAAGACTGATTTGAACTAACCGAGTGGGTAAGATTGAAGATTTTTCCCCGCACAGTAAATCCCAGCTCCCGTACCATTTTCAACCCGTTTGTATACCAGATGTTTCTGCCGAACATGTTCATTTTCCATCGAACATATACTTCGGTGTTATATGATCATCATCAGTCACCCTCCAGAAGAAATATGGCAGAAATCTACAAACTCCTGAATATTTTACACCATGCCCCTGTAATGAAATATAACCGACCTGGAATATATTATTTCATGGACATGTACCAAAGCGATAGCACTTGATGACCGTAAAATGTTTTGCAGAAGAATTGATGGATATTAGAAGGTTCAAGGCATTGCGATGGTTTTTAGCTCAAGTCTTGTCCCATGTACAAATAAAACCGGCATACAAAATAAAATAATTTTGACATGTAACATTTTGTTAATTGTTTTCGACCAGTAATTTGAACAACGGTAAATGCTTACAATTAGTTGCAAGTTGAATTCAAATATCAAAATAAGCATATCAAATGCAAATGTGTGACTGAGACATACTCAAAAACACCAATTAAACATTCAAATCATTATTCTTAACCGTTAGAAATCGAAGGACTTTGCTGCGAAACTAGGTTTTTACAAAATTTGTGAACTTATTAAATACTTCACAGGTATTTGAAACGGTTAATTTCGCCATTTTGATTATTTATAGCTGTGGCGAATGACACTTTTAATAATTCAAAGTCTTGTTCTACTGATCTCAAGAAACTAGTTTGAATATCGGATTCTTATACATATTTACTATTAGGTTGTTTCGAAAGTTGTATCCGTCTTTATGAGTTAACTTTAAACTATAATATTTCAAGGAATACCCATTCAATTCAATCGAAATAAGCGCCATCCGAAACGAAATTTCGCAAACCAGCGTCGAATAGTGCGTTCATTAACACCATCATTGCCAAGTGCCTGGCTAATTTTTCGGTCTGTTTCGGCGGCGTTCTGGTTCAATTTGAATACGTAAAGAAAAACTGGCCGAAAGTCGCCAACCGACATCGTATAGTAATGAACTGAAATGAGGCAAAGCATCAGAATTTGGAGAAGAAGGAACAGCATTATTGTATAGAGTACGAAATTCTTTATCGATCAGAATTTACCACGACACACGAGGGCATCATCCTGCAGAAGTTATTCGAAAACCAGTCAGCAGGGTCTTCCTAACATCAGTCCACAGGGAAATAGCATGGTAACTGCAGTTGCTAAGAGGCCCACTAGCAACTTCAAAATCCATGTCTGCAACATCAGAGGACTCAACTCAAATATAAACTCAGTACACCAACATCTGCAATCAAATACTCTTCATATTCTTGCACTCACAGGAACCAAAGTCAGTGCTTTGACAAACCCCATCAATATTCTTTATCCAGGCTATGATTTCCACTCCCGATTCAGACGTAACTTTGAAATTATCTCTTTTTATCAGAAGCGATCTCTCTTTGTCAACGAGAGGAAATGCTGGAACCCCGAAAAGATCACCAAATTCATATGCTGCGTTTATCGACCACCTAGCGATACATAATATAGGGTACTATTCTCTTCACTTGCAAACACCACTGACTTTTTGCAAATCAATCATCCCATATTCGGTGACTTTAATGTCCATAATATCGAATGGCTCAAATTTTCAAATATCAACGACGAACAAGGTCAAGAATCTGAGGATTTTGCAATAAGCTGCGGACTTACTAAGATTATAAATGAGCCAACCAGGATTCCTGACCGTGATGAAGAATATGGTAGTCTTCTATACCTAACAACCAATCCAGAAATTAACACAGTCCTCGTTAGGTCTCCATTGAGATCTTCTGACCAAAACTCATTTCAGTGTTGTGTGAATTACCGATGAATGTTGGGGAACAATCTAAGTTTGGCATTACCTAGAGATCAGCTGAATGGGATGATCTTCAAGACTATATCCGAAATTTCCCCTGGCTAGATGTTTGTTTCAGCTTTAAAGATCCACCAACTTGTGCTTCTGAAGTCACGTAAGTTATTCTATGATTCATGGATGCATATATTCAATGAAACGACCTTCTAACGACAAACCTTGGTTTCACAAAAATTGCGAGCAAGCTGTCGCCTCTAAAAATCTTGTCTACCTGTAATGGCGCAAAAATCCCAGTACCGAAAACCGAACTAGGTTTGTTAATGCTCGCAACAGATGTAAACTTAGGATAAATGAAATCAAAGAACTTGACAATCAAAGACTTAGGGATAAAATGTTTGCCTATAGGGACCTAGACCGGCCATAGAAAAAGCAAATCTACTAGCTGAACATTTTGCGTCCCACTCCATAGTCGATTTTATAAGAGAGGCACCACCCACTATTCCCACACTAGAATCCACAATGCCGGAAATTACTTTTTGACAGCGTCTAGTCAGGCGAATTTTGAAACAGCTCAATATCAACAAGGCGTCTGGCCCTGATGAAGTGCCCGTCATCGTACTGAAAAGTGCGCAAACAGTATTTTGCAGTCTTTTCAACCTGTCTTACAAAAAAAGGGCTTTTCCTTTTCTGTTGGAAGATTGCTCGCGTACAGCCTATTCCCAAAAAGGGAAAGAGAAATCTTCCAAATAATTACAAACCAGTTGCTTTGCTAACAGTGATATAAAAAATCAAGGAGAAAGTCTTAAACCACCACATCATCAAATATTTGGAAGGCTTCAACATCTTGAGCGATCATCAATAGGGCTTTCGAAAACAAAGATCAACAGGCGACCTTCTATCGTATGTCACCCATATTTGGAATAACGCAATCGAGAAACATGGAGAATCAAGAGCTTTTGCATTTGATATTTCTAAGGCCTTTGATCGTGTGCGGCATGTAGCATGAAGATGCTATGGCTTGTATTATTTCTGTGTATGGCTCTTCAGCTTCCTGAAAGAACGTTCCCTGCAAGTGGCCGTCGATGGATATCTCTCGAATACTTTCACCATCAACGCTGGTGTTCCCCAGGAATCCATATTGTCTCCAACCTTCTTTTTTATTGTATACCAACGACTTATTGGAGAAAACTAAGAATCCAATATATTGCTTTGCTGACGACAGCACACTCATCTCGTCACTCCAGTTGGATTCCAGGACATCGGCTACGGAGGCACAGGAGGTAGCATATCTTAATGAGGATCTAGAAGTGATTTCAAATTGGCGTGAAAGTAACCAGGTTCAATTCAATGCCACAAAAACCTAGGCATCGGTTTTCTCCAAGAATATAAATATCTCCGAACCGGATATAATAATATCAGGACAGACAATTCCGGTTTCTGCTTCGATAAGTTTGGTGTCCATAAAATGGACACCAATATGTCTTGGCACAATCATGTCGCTGGAATTATAAAGGCTTCTTCTCAAAAGCCTGGAACACTGTTCCGAACCAGAAAACTGTACAGATCTCAGCAACTTTTGATGCTTTATAAAGGTCAGATCTGGAGAAGTGCGTTATTGTGAAATAAACTTCCTGAGAACGTTTTTCCAAATGGATTAAATCTCCAGCGATTCAAATTCAATGCAAATCGCTACTTTCGCACAGGTACCGCTCTGAGAGCGCCTTAAGGATTTTTCTGTAGTGCTGGTTTTTTGTCCTTGAAAAAAAATGTATTGAGATATGGAGCTGCAAAACACATGACATTGAAACGAACAAAATTTTTGAGACGAACTAATATATTGACAGCGGCACACTATTTTGTTCTTAGGTCTTCTTGAAAAAAAAAACCATTATAAAAACTTTTTTATATTTCGTTTACTATTGAAGAAGAAGGAACAAATCTTTTCTTTACAGACACTGTCGCGATGAATCTTTTGAATAGCAGTACAATTTGATTTGGCGTGTATAAAATCATGTGACATTTCAACACGTTGTTTAAAAAGTTACTACGTGCTAACATAGTGAAAATCAACCAGTAAGTCCACTCCCACTACTTTCATTCATACATTCACAAAGTTCTCGGTGACCTCGAAACGAAGTGTGGAGCCAATTTCGTTCTTTTACCATAGGCGTGCGCTCATATAAAAACAAAATTTAAGGTTATTATAAGGAAATTTAAGGTTATATTATTGTAAATTACCCATAACCAACTACAAAAACTAAAACAAATAATAACAACAGCGAATAAACTAAACACAATATCAATTTCCGACCGTTTATTATAACTAATCTGATGTCCGTGGTACCGTCAAATCCTTCGATACTACTGAATGCACTGAACGCGTTGGATGAGAATCTCATCCTAAGAGCGGTTGAAGGTACCCGGCAACGCGGGCGAATTACGTGGTAAGAGAGACTACTGGTTGTATTATTCTACTGTGGTGCTAAGCTGTGCTGGCGCATGCGCGAAGAAAAAATGTGACCAAAAGGTCTACTGAGGCAGTATCAAGCAACATTGGCAGGTTTACTGAGAGTGTTCAGAAGACTCATGGGAGATATGGAGTATGAGTTAACGTCACTTTCCCTCAATGGTGTAGTCATTCCATTTGGAACGGAGGTGAAATATCTTGGCATTGTCCTTGATAAAAGACTCACCTGGAACGATCACTTGGAAAAAGTTTTACACAAATCCAGACTGTCTCTATGGACATGTCGAAGGATTTGTGGTAAAACTTGGGGTTTAGGTCCCAAACAAACCCATTGGATTTATGTGATGACTGTCAGACCAATTATCACGTATGGTGCAATTGCTTGGTGGCCGAAGGCTTTACAGAAAACGGCCCAAGCGAAGCTCTCTGACTTACAGAGACAGGCTTGTTTGGCTATCAGTGGTGCCATCAGTACCACACCGTCAGCGGCCATGGAGATTCAATGCAGAGTGCAACACACTGTTGGTTGACATTGGAAGTCACAGCATTCTGGAAATGACCTCTAACTTTATGCCTCCAACTGTCAACTACGAACTGCCTTATAAAGAACTATTCCCAAGTAGAGAGGACTGAATCCAGCGGGAGAAGGAAATATTAAGAGCAGATAGTTGTTGGTTCACAGATGGATCAAAAACACCTTCCGGTTCTGGTGCAGGTGTTTTCAGTCGCAGACCCAGGACAGAGATATCTACCTGCCTAGGAACTTATGCGACTGTATTTCAAGCGGAAATTTACGCTATTGAATTGTGTGCGGAGAGATTGGATAAATCCAACCTCACTCACAAGTCAATAAAAATATTTTCGGACAGTCAAGCGGCGTTGGAAGCTCTTGACTCCCACCGAGCAACGTCTAAATTGGTAGCAAACTGCCAAAAAAGACTCCTCGATAGGAAGACTAAACAGATTGTCTCTGGTTGGGATTTCTGGCCATATTGGCCTGGAAGGCAATGAAGCTGCTGACTCTCTTGCAAAGGAGGGTGCTGCAAACGGCTTCATTGGACCAGAACCTGTCATTGGCATCGCTTTGGGCTTTGCCAAACAAACACTTAACACCTGGATGGCAAGAAGAGTTATGGATTTCTGGCAGAATCTTCCAGGATTGGCCCACTCCAAAGTGTTTATTCACCCTTCGAAGCTTGATACCAAACAGTTGTTGGACTACAGTAGGGATGAACTACGATGTCAAACAGGCCTTCTTACAGGTCACTGTCATTTGAATCATCACATGCAGAGACTTGGACTGTCGGAAGACAGTGTGTGTCGCCTCTGTCTGGAAAATGATGAAACTGCAGAGCATATACTTTGTGCCTGCCCCACTGGGGACCGAATCAGGTTCTTTGAGTTCGGCAGATCTGTACTCTCACCATCTGACCTGAAAGACCACACACCATATAAACTAATCGGCTTCGTTAAGAAGCTGGGTTTATTTGGCAGGTGTGAGCCACAATAAACCCTTATGGGTTGCAGTGGAGGGTCGAATAGACCCACTCACTTCAGACCTACCTACCTACCTAGTTGCCCATTAACAGATAGCGGAATTTTCCCAAGTCCTTCATAACTCACGGCGCAAAGAAAAAGCATTGGTTCTTTATACTCTTTACTCACTGGATATCGACTATATGAGTGAATAAAACCGACAAAGTTGCTCTTTAGTTTGGTATCCCACATGCTCCCATCAATTATTCCATTTTCTAATGTTTTCGATGCTAATCTACCACTTGTGATGTTAGATCTCTGCCGTTTTCAAAAAGGACAACTTCTTTGAGAATTCCTCATTGGAAAAATACCCTCAGAAGAAAAAATTCTAACACTTCTCACTGTACTGGAGATGGGGACATTTTTTCCAGGAATTGAGGTTTCTCTTAATAGTTTCTTAATAGTTTATTAGGTATAAAATAAGGCTATACTAAGATGTTTCCACAGCGGAAGCGGCAGATTCTTCTGTGTATTTGCCTTTGCCCTTTCCAAGAGCAGCCAATCGCCCCTTGGCTCTACGATCAATAATCTTCTTTCTACCTTTGTCCATTTTGAGTTTAACAATTACACCTTTGAAGGGTGAATTCCCCCCACATATACACTGGCACCATTTGCCTTTTCTCGTTGAATTCTCTCAATATTGATAACGAATTTTTTCCTGTACACTTGAACAACTTTTTCACTTGTTGTCCTTTGCAATGTCCCCTCACAATCTGTACTTCATCGTATGGGCATGGTGCCCAGATTGTATTTCTGCCTGAGCTCCTTAGACAAAGGGGCTGACATAAGTTTCCTGTTGTTGCCTTTTCCTGGTTTTGCTTCTTGAAGCAATTACTAGTTTGTTGAAATTCATTTTGCTCTCCAAACGCTTCTCCACTACACACAAACTCGCCCATTAAAAATACATACACACCTGTCGACTGATAATGAACCGCCCTCCTCTGCGGTAGAGACGACCCAGTGAACACCCGTCGGGTGCTCTCCACCTTCGAAGCAGAATAACTGACGTGCCGTTGTTTGAACTCGCCTCTCGAAACTCCATTTATCCTGATGGGCGTCGTCGGCGTCGACGGGATCTGACTAGTCCTTAGGCCCTCGAGCGTGCTGAGCCGTCGCAGCGCCTCGGCTAGAGTAGCCTTGAGGCATACCAGCTCGTCGCCCTGCTCGAGAACCTTGCGCTCGAGGTCGGCGACGCGGCCGCTAACTCCGCGGTTTTCGGCTTCGAGCATTTCATCTGAAACAAAGAAAGATATTCGATTAATGATTTATCATTATCATTCCTTCAAATGTGAAGGCTGTAAAACATAAATAAAATGAAGAATGTGACGAAATATCGTCGTTAAGTAAATTTCAATGTTGATCTCGATCAATCTATCATCAAACTATTTTGTTCAGGCGTCACGTCGGTTCAGTTCTGAAAACTATGTATCCGTTGCACATGTATTTTTTTTCTGTTCTTTTTTTTATTCTTGGGAGGATTATTGACGCAATTACCCCCCTTAGATACGCCATTGGAAGTAGGTACTGGTTAATTTCACTAATTATGCCAGTATAGAAGTATTTATTTTGTTAGTTATTTGCGCGACCAGCCTGCAGCAAAATATACAGTTATAATAATAAACTATAATCCGTGATGATAATATTCAGTAGTTTAACTAGAATTAATTTTCTATTTTAAGCAAATTATTTTATTTCTTTTGATACATTAGAAGTATACACTCACTCAATCGTCTCTGTTTCTCCGTACTGGTAAGTCCTACGAAGCTAAAATTTGGTATATAGATGCGTCTTAGGTCGCAAATACGCACTAAGAAAAGATTTTCAAATTTTCCGACTGTAGATACCCCCGTGGGGGTGAAATGGTGGCGTTTACATATGAAAATTGCCTCTTCATCACTGTTTCTCCGCTATATTTTTGGTGCCTGAAATTTTGTATGTAGGTTCGTTTCATGTTGTAGATTGCAATAAAAAAGGATATTCAAATATTCCAAATTGGGAGCCAGCCCAATTTTGATTACAATTTTTTGATTACTTTATTAATATGAACATCCCTTCTACGGCGTCTATCAATTTATTTCAACCCCTAGGTATGTTATAGAAGTTTCGTTTTTGATCATAACTCCAGGAAAGAAAATAAACGAACGTCAACGAAAAAGAGGTGAAAATAAAGCAGGAGTTTATAATAATACCAGTCCAACTGTATGGAATCTACCACTACTTTGGAGAAACATGATAGTGTTAGAACCTATGGTAAGATGCCTATCTAATGCTTGGTGACCATATATGAAACAGACCGTACCAAATATACTATAGGTACTAAAACCAATAATGATTGAGAGTAGAAGTAAGCCAAGTTGACAGCAAATCGGGGGCGTGCTTATTAATTTTTGAGAGGGTTAAGAATGAAAGAAAAATTCTTAGTACAATTAGTTAAAATATTCATACACATTTTTTATTTATTTCATTAAAACTTTACAATATCGTAATTTACCTAATCGTTGTAGTCATTAGGTGGGCCTTATGAAAACGGAGTAATAATCGTGGTAATTATAGTAGGTACCAAATAAATTAACAATATTAATAAAAAACACAATATATATATATTCA